GTAGTCCATGGCTGCAGCCAGCTGGAATCAATGCCTACACAGAACTCCCATGCAGCCGGCAAGCAACCCCACCCCCTGTGCTGGGACCCCTCTCTAAGTTGGTTGGCAGGAGTGTGGGATCTGTGGGAGTTTTTTTGGATACAGGATTGCTATGTCTGCCATCTACCAGCTTGAGAGAATCAAGACACATCACCAAATGTCCAAGACACCACTGGCTCCAATGCAAGGAAGGGAGCAGGACTGGACAGTAACAGCACAGACTGAGGGTGCAGAACCACAGCCTGGAAAAGGACAATTCACAACTGCCCAAAGTTCACACATAAAGTAAAATACAGAGCTGCAAACATCATCCCCAGGCAAGTCTCACTCCCCTGCTCGAGTTACAAGATGTTACAAGAATAAGACAGCTGCAATCACCTTCTATGCTTTGTGTGCATGCCTTGTTTTTTCTAAGACTAAAAAGGAGCAGTTTAGACTTTTCAATCCTGTCTAATGAACACAATTCTCATCTGTAAACCTGTCTTACCCGGGGTTTGTTATGGGCGGTTTTGTGTGTAAAGTACACACATATTAACACAACACTACCTGGACCCAATATCAGTAAGGACAGACACAACATGATTGTATGTCAAAGACTCAACAGTTCCATATGTCATTCACAAAAACAAAACATATACAAAAAATTTAATAGTAAGACCCTGCTTGTGATTGCTGCATTGCTCTACTCTTCAAAAAAACCCAGAACGTTACCAAAACCTTTTTTTTTTTTTTTTAAATCTTCTACCTACGGAGAACATTAAACAAAATGCTTTGCATTTCTCAAAGCCTACAACTTCTGTTGTTGCTATGGCACAAGGGATAGGAATTATCATCTCCAATCCTCCCATCTCCTGTAAAACTTTGAGTTCGTGGATATTCTCATCTCAAGTCCCCAAATCATCAACTCCTCACTGTAAGAACCTTAAAAGTCTACCTACTGCCAAATTTCCTTTTCAGTTTATTCCATATTCCTTTTCGAAATAACATGAAACTGTCACAAGTTCGCAACTAAGAGAGAACTTCGAAAAGCCTCTTAACTCCCCCTCCTTTTTAACCTTAAAGTTGAAGTGTGTAATTACCACCCCAAACAGACAGGCTGGAAAGTGTGCGTTGTACCAGCGTGGAGGTTTTATGACACTGACAATTACACATCTTACAGTAAAATCACACCAGAGCAGACAGAGAGTCTGGTCGCATTAGGTAACGCACACACCGCGATCAACATTTAAGAGCAAATGAAGTCCAGCTCTTCTCCCGATCAGAGCTCTGTGCTCCCCTCACCAAACCCGCACTTTTACCTTTCTCAGAGCACCGATTTCACCATTCGCGCGGTGTTTACTTGGCTCCAAGCGATCTACAAAAGCACTGCAGGCCCGGTTTGTACCTCTTTCCGTTCTGGCTCACGGCTCTTTGCAGACACACAGGGACTGCACCCGAGCCGCTGCCCCGCTCAGGGGCACAGAGCTGTCGGGCAAGTCGCGCTCCCGGCCCCGCACACACCGACGGCATCGACCGCGAGCCCGGCCGGCGGTGCCCTCATGACGCCACCGCAATTCCACCGAGCTACCGCCGGGCGCCGGGCGCTGACACCGATCACCGACCAGCGGCACCGCCGCGCTCCGGGCACCACCGACCGCCGCGGGCCCTGCCCGGGGCCGCCTGGCACCTGTTACGGCCGGGCCGCGCCGCGGGGGCCCCGCCGGGCCGAGCGCTGCGGGACGGGCCTGCCGCCAGCGCTAGGCCGGGCTGAGGGAGCGGGGCCCGCCCGGATGGCTGAGGGGCGGCGGCCCCGGTGCCCCCGTTCCTGGCCCCGAGCGCCCCGCACCGTCCGCGGGCCGGGCCGGCTCCGCACTGCCTCCAGAGGCCCCGCTCCCGCACTCACCGCTCGCGGCCCCGGCCCCACTCCCGCACTCACCACTCCCGGCCCCGGCCCCGCTCCCGCCCTGCCCGTTCCCTCCCCTGGCCCCGCTCACCGTGAGGGCTCCGGGCGGGCGGCGCGGCGGGCGCTGGCTGCGGCCGGGCGTGCGCGTGCGCGTGCGCGTGCCCGGGCGTGCGGACGCGCGTGCGCAGGCGCGGCCGTGCGTGCGCGGCCCCGCGGGGACGGGAGGGGGCGGGGCCGCCCCAACAAACTGCGCACCGGCCGCGTGACGTCACTTCCGCGCGCGGTCGGGCGCTCCGTCAAATGCGCGTGAGTAGTCACGTGACCCGCGACCGCCGCCATAGCCCCGCCCCCTCGCCCTCACAGGATCGGCTTAGGTCTGGTTGGGTTGGGTGCGGCTTAGAGGTTCGCCTGGGGGCTGGGAGCTGTGCAGTTCCCACTCTGGATAAAAAAAAAATTGACACGGACAAGTAAATAAATAAGCAGAGTCCTGTTCCAGTGTCGCGGGGAGCTTGTTCCTTGTGATCGCTGGGGTTGTCCCGCCCGATATTCCATTAAACCGCTTGTGGGCACGACCCGCTGTCGCTTTTCTCCACGCTGGTTTCAGACACACATACGCGATCTAATGGCTTACGGTGCAGGAACTGGGACCCACTGACCCCATTCAGAAAGTTCCGTCCAGTTTTTACAGTATTTTTTAAAAAGAGAAATCTCACTGTTGTGAAATCCCTCCAGGTCCTATGGAAAACATGTTTGTTATAAAGTACTTTTTAACCCAGCTGGGAGGAAAAGGATGAATGGATTAAACAGCCCTCCAAGGGTGGCAGTAGCCGAGTAGGGCAGCTGGACAATAGTCCTGGGAATGTGGTAACAGCTCCTGAAAATGCTGCTCTTCCAATAGCTTGTGTTTGCCCAGAGCAAGCAAATCCATGAAACTTGTCTGGAAATTGGAACTGTACTGAACTTCGCAAAACTGTAACAGTTGGTCACAGCAAGCAGAAACAGATAGGACTGCACGGGAGAGAGCTTTCTAACTGACTCTCCATCCTCAGCTGAGGGCTGCAAGCCAGCCTTAGACCTATCTGGCCCTTCAAGGTCTCCGTTTGATCCTTAGACAAAACATTCACACTTCCTATCTTAAGAGATCTGGAATTAACCTTTTGATAAAGCACTAATTGCTGAGGACAGGACAAGACAGGAATGTGTGAGAGGTGAATTTTCACAGAATCACAGAATATGCTGAGTTGGAAGGGATCCATAAAGATTATTGAGTCCAACTCCTGGCCCTGCACAGGACCACTCGAAAGAGTCACACCCTGTGCCTGAGAGCATTGTCCAAACGGTCCTTGAGCTCTGGCAGCCTTGGTGCTGTGCCCACTGCCCTGGGGAGCCTGTTCAGTGCCCAACCACTCTCTGGGGGAAAAACTTCTCCCTGATAGCCAACCTAAACCTCGCCTAATAATTTTTTTTTGCCCAGAAAATTAATATTTCTGGTCCTTAAAAAGGAATGCATGAAGCTGCACACACTTGTGGTAAAAGCCCAAGCCCAGGCAACACTTAGCACTGTTCAACAACTGTTAAGGAAACATAACTTTGTGAGCATCTGGAGGCAGCCTGAACAGAGAGCGTTTGTCCAGAACAGTCAGTACAAACAGCACCATTATTTCAGGGGTGTTTCTGACAGGCAGCACAACTAACACTACCAAAGAGGGACTACCAGTGTGACAGCAAATACATTATTCCCTGGTCCTAGGTTGCACAGGCATATATAAACCAGTGTGCTGCCAGAGCAACAATCTGAACTCTTACACCCTGGCAGCACATATATAAGCCAATTGCTATTGTTTTGTGCAATTATTAGTCTCATATATTAACTATATATCAGTGGTATGGTTCACAACCTTTGTCAACCAGTCAAATACACACATATAAATGTGGTTGAGAAAAAAACTACAACAAGATGGAAATTAATTTTAAAAACCAGTAAAACTGAAGACCTTCTGATATTTCTCTTGTACAATGTCAGTAGTAAAATGTAGAAATGATAACGTTCTCTGTAGCAGAATTGCAAATTGATTCACAGCTTGCTGACATTTATGACAGGTAGGACAGCTTGCTCTTTTCTAATTATGCTCAGACATCTCCCTCTTATTGTAATACCCTTTCCAGAAATGTGAGCTGACACTCATCAATCATGCTGGTAACTCACAGGAATACTGCAGGGAATGGCAGTTGGTGCACTGGCTCCAGCACAAAAAGAATGACACCATTAATGTCTCAACAGGAACGAGGATACTGGTGACTCAGAAATACTGTCTCCAGCACTACAATACCACCCTGTTCCTCTGAGTGGAGTTTGTTTGGGTAAGAGGAGAGAGCCCTGTCTGGGGGATGACAGGCCATCACTGCTGTAACCACCGTAATGACACCAAAAATTGCTCTGAAAATGCTGGCCTAGACTCTGCAATCCATCTGTTGGAGGGGACTCAGGGTTTAGGAATGAGTGACAACAAAGGCTCTGCGGGGAATAATGCCATCTGTAGGGAGATGGTACTTGCTCCAAAAAGAATTCCTATGTTTTGTGGGATATTCCATAATACCTGAGACACCCAACAGCCCACCTCCCACTATTCTGCACTGCTAAAAACTTCCTCTGCTACTCTCTGTCTCATCTGGAATTGCTTGAACTGCTCTGGAGACTTGGGCATCTCCAGTGCCCTTGGCCATGCCCTGAAGAGGTAGAGCACTGCCTTGGATCCCACACCCAGTGGCAATAGGACCTACTGCAGTAGCCTGACTCTTTCATCTGGGTAACACTTTTCCAGTTTTGTGTAAAACAAATGGATAGTTACTCACTGTCTCCTTAATACTTTAGTGGTTCTTTGGTGGTTTTGAATTGTGTTGTCTGTGTATTTTAAACCCATGACATAAATTCTGAAGGAAGCAAAACTTGCTGGCATGCAATTAAGAACATGCAATGGAGATATGTGGAGGGTCATATTAATTCAGGATACATTTTAATTGCTTGTCTATGTTGTTCAGCAGTCTCAAATCAGCCTATATCTAAAAAATTACCCCTAAGAGTTGGCATCTTGATTGAAAAGTAGATTTTAGGCAGTTTTGATTGTCTTCAATAGGACTAGTGAATGCTATAAAAGTATTTCACAATCATTTCTCATTTTTGGTTTCTTCCATTCCTACCCCTTTCTCACCATTCAGGAGTTCTTCTCATGCTTCTCCTTCTTAGTTTTTTGCACAAGATCAAAATGCCATCTCTGTAGTCCTTATCACTCTCTCCATCATTGAAACTCTTCAGAAGTGCAGTTTTTGATCAAACACTCCGGGTGACAAACACAATTCAGAGGATCCTATGTGGGAAAAAGCAATGTGCGAATGTGTTGACCGTCTGAGGGCAGAACCCCACTGACACATCAGCCACATGAAAACACCTTAGAATGCTATTATCCCTCACTCTTTCCCTTTCCCAGGAGTGGACACATTCCCTTTTTATATGAGTTTAATTTCTTTATGGGACGCTTGCTTTCCTATAATGACAAGTCCATCACAGGTACACAAAAGCCTCTGAAAATAACAGTCCATGTGGACACCATCTGTGGCACAGTTCTAACTCACATTCAGACATGATTTATTATTCAGCAGAACCACTGCTTTTGATTCTGTTTTATGGGCATCAGAAGTATTTTCACTCAGTGCACACCTCCCTTTTGCTGTGCTGCAGCATTCCCTTCTCCACGATACACATGAGTTTGTTAACAGGCACTCAATTTGGCTCTTAATTCCAAAGCATAATATAATAAAAGTAATTAATGTATGTAGTTAAATAACCAGACAAAATACTATTTCCATCTTAGTGAGGATTGAAAATGTGCCACAGAAAACATGGTAAGAACTTCATAATGATTCCAAACATCTGAAAGCCAGGAATTACAAAATTAAAGATGAAAAATTAAACAGAATTTGGGATGTGTGTAAATATCAGGGTCTCATAAATCAGCTCAACTCTACCCTGTTATTACATGGATAAATCTACAAGGTAAAATCCTTAATTAACTGGTTAGATTTCATTTGCACTAATTGGAGACAGACTTAAGCCACTGTGTCCTATTGATAAACACGTGGACAGCTTTTGTCGATGAACTGTATGGTTTCTCAAAGGTTGAGGAAATAATAAGGAAACACATATTTCCCATGTTTCTGTTTGTAAGAGCTTACAACAAGGACCACCTCATTGTGGCATTTAGTGGGGTTTTACAAATGTCCATTACTGTTGTGACTTATTTTAATGATGCAAATCATCAGCTACATCTTTGCTGAACATTGTTGAGAACACTGTAATGATCTCCCATAGTTTCAAAAGCAGAGGAGAGAGACTTCCCAGACCTGCAGGCCATTAGCAGTTGTTCTGGCAGAGTGAACACCTGCTCTGTTTTTATAGTGCTGTAAGTCACCATGAGCCTCTACAAATAAAACTGGCAAATTCTTCTGTCAGAATTTAACAATAAAAATTCAATATAGAACTAGTTAGCACCACCACCACCCCCTTCCCAAATTCAAGATAAGTAATCTGCTAAAGATAAATGTTTAACATTGTTTAATCTAGTATCAGTAGAATATCTGACAATTCCCAGAGAACGTTTTGGAATACTGTATTTAATTTTCCCAGTATTTGCCAGAATCATGAGTAAGAACAATAGCACTCAGAAAAGGAAGCTAATTTGTATTCCCTGTCACTGACCTGTTGCTGTTTATTTGATGCCAACATTTTGCAAAAGACAAGAGAAGTAGGGTTAATTCTGTGCTGTGAAGAAAGAAAGAAAAATAATGTTATAGTTTTGATATATGAAACAAAGAAATCTAGTAATTTATGTTCCCTTTTTCACTTGTTCATTACTAAAGTGAAAGAGTATATTTGATTTATTAATTATAAAGGTAGTTAAGTCCTGATTGTATTTCTCCAGACACTTCAACAAAGAATGACTTAAAGCAGCAGGAAGTCAGGAGTGTTACAGAGTCTGCTGCAGACAGATCCCGGCCTGTATTGCTCTTGTTCCATCCCACAGGGAACCAGGGAACAGGGCTAGTGCAGGAATCACCCAAGTGTCTGTCTGCAAAAATTAGGGTTATTTCCTAGAATGTGCAAGGGAGAAAAGAGAAAATATGAACATTTTTCTGCCTAAGTTTTAAGCATGATTCAAATAACTCTGCTGCTGGTAATTCTCATAAACAGTACATTCTTTTTTGCACAGTGGAATTGTTTAACTTTGGCTAAACAAACCTGCAAGGATTTTTCTGTTGCTACTTTTTCTTAAAAATTAATCCTATTGTGAGTGAGGGCTATGTTCTGGAATTCGTGGGTATAACCAGTTGTCTTTTAGACAGGATAAGTGTAGGAAGGATACATTTCTTTATGGAATAAACCATGGAAACCTAAGTTCCACCACCCCAAATAGAGACTACATAGAAGGGCGCTCAGTGACCCACGGTGTGTGGGTGAAGGGATTTCCCTGGCAGCTGCATCCCAGTGCAGCATGTCCCAGTGAGCTGTCTGTCCTGTGTGTCTGGCCAGGGCAAGTCCAGCACCAGAGCATTGGACAGAGGAGCCAGAGAAAGCTCAAGTGGCAGTAAGGACTCGCTTTAGGATCGTGGCCAGAATGAACTTCTCTGGCCAAGTGCAAGCTGGGAGGGACTAGATGTTATGAGTAAGGACTCTTAATTTTGCTTAACTCTTCCTGTGCCCAAGGAAATGGACCTTTGTGTGTTCTCTGGAAAAGAACAGGGCTACATCAAAGTAATATTCTGTGAATACCCTACTTCATTCTCAGTTTCTCCTAATGGAAAACAACTGACAAGATTCCAATACAGACCACTCAGGTCAAGCCCAAAAGCTGTATTCCTGATGTTTAATTCCACATGAAGCGGTGTCCTGGGGTTTGTAAGGTGGCTGGGGTGGAAATGGGAAAGAGACTTAAGTCTGCAGGAGATGGGATTTGAGAGATCTGGGGAAATGGCTTTGTTAAAAACATGCACCGTGTCCTTACTCTGCAAAGCCTTTAAACACCTGTTTAATGGGAACCAAATGTGCAGGTCTCACAGAGGAGTCCTCCTGCCTTTCTCTTTGTTTCTGTTTCCACTGCTTGCCTGCAGTCCCCACTGCACCCAAGCAAAGGCAGGGATCAAGTGTCACTCCGTGCTGGAGCAGCAGCCTGGTGCTGGGCATGGCTCACATGCAGCCAGCAGCACGTAGGAGTTCTCAGGGACTAAACTGTGCTTTATGCACATAGAAACATCAGCAAACTCCAGCTATGAATTGTAGAAGGCAAGATTGTGTATATGAGAGAGAAAATTTTTCAGACGATTAAAATTTGGCCAAATTTGGGGTAATTCATAGCAGGGCAGCAAAAAGCTGTACCTGTGACAGCAAGGCATCATCCGTGCCCTGTTCCAGGGCTTGCTAAAAAAGCTATGAGGATCTGCTCCATGAAGGCAAACTGTTGTTTTCTTCAGTAGCCACATTCTTGGCCACAATTGAAAAAAGTTAGTTGAAACTACAAAAGAAATCTCTGGAATGTGAACTGGGCTGAATGGCATTCAACCTGAGTGGCCTCAACTTGGCAAAGTGATAAGAAGTTGAAAAATAAAGATTTACCATGGGATGTGCCATTGCCGGACAATGTTCTCTATAAATATGTGTCCTTGCCTGTTCACCCTCCACACTTGCACACACACATACTCAGTGCTACTGCACCACTGAAGAGTTTATAAACAGCAACATCCCCAACTAATTATGCATATTGACAGTAAAATTGTAAGAAGACAGAGTTGGGCATTTCAAGGACGTTAAAATTGTAAAAAAAAATGTTCAAAGTGGCTGTGAAGTTAAATGGGTATTTGCTATTTACAAATATGATGATTACATGTGGTTACCATGGAAACTCGAGATGGAAAATAAAAAGTGAGTTTAGCTTCATCTTGAAACTGCCCTGATTGAGAGGAGAACAATAGCTGACATTCCTCCACTAGGAGACTAATTGCCCCTCTTGAAGAATGTACACTATGTTTCTCCATATTTTTAGCTGCTATGCAAAGTTTTAAACCTGCAGCCAGCTGAAGATAAGGCTCAGATAATTGATACATGTGTTGTTAAGAATCACAGCACAGTATGATTTATTCTTTTTCCTGTGCTATTTACTGAAATGGCAACTATTCAACATTTTGTCTTCTAAGTCTGCTTCAAGTGATTTTGTGTCACATCTAAGTCTCTGGCCTGGTAATTCTCCTCAAGTACATTTTTTCCCCTTATCTGTGTTTCTGCTTTGACAAGATAATGAGTGAAGCATGCTCTAAGGATGTGACTCATTTCCATCAAAACAAGCTTCCTGAGAACCAGAGGCTGGGAGATGACCACCGACCTTGGAAAATTTTAGAACAATTCTAAACATGAATTAGTTGGCAGCCAATAAAATAATATATACAATAATCAATAACTGAAGAAGTTATTCCTAAATAAAAGTGCACCCAGTGAGATTGCAGCGAGCACTAAGGCTGGAAATCAGAAGGCTGCACAGATGGTACCATCTGTCTGTCTCCTGGGAATCACTGTGGTGCTGAAAAAGCCCTTTGAGACAGATGCTCAGAGCCATGGAAGTGTTTGCTAACAGACACACATGCGACTACCCCTGGCAACGCTGTGTGGGATCCGAGTGTTGGCCAGGTACCTGCACACAAACGGAGCTGGGATATTCAGTGTGCCACAGCTGGAAAGACAGCGAGTGAGTGCAAGGTCTTGTTGCCAAAAGTTGGAAGTTCCAGTAAAGATGGGATTCAAAGAAGGGCAGAGGACCAAGAGCCACAGGCAGGTGGATGGACACTGAAACTTTAGGATGAGTCCGACAAGTTCTTTGATATTATTTTTTTTTTTCTTCTTTATACACTAAGTTTGTTCCTTTTGTTATCTACACTAGCTTACAAGCCAATAGTTCCTTTTATGTGGACACAGAGTCTAATTTACATCAGCTGCAATTCTTCCCTATTTCATTGGGAAGAAGTGTTGTTCTTGCTAAATGGCAAGAAATATCACTTGCAGAGCTGTCGAACTTGTATTTTTCTTATTTTGAATGACAAACTTCTTTCCAAAAACTGTGCTATTTGACAGATGAATGCCCTTTCACTTCTTCACTTTTCACGGTGTTTTTTAAAGTGCTTCCAAATTATTAAAATTAACAACACTGAGACACTGCACTGAGACACTTTCAGATGGTAATGATTCTACACTTCTGCTCTGATGGATACCTGTCTCACTCAAATACATATTTGAAGCACTTTAAAGCAGAATCATCTACTAAGATTAATAAACTCAGCTTGACAGTTTCTAGTCCAAGTGCTTATAATGGCAGAGACGAAAGTCTTGCAGAAAAGCAAATGACAATTATCTGCCAGGTATTTCCATGATATTTTAAAGAGGCAGTGAACACTCAGCACTCTGCACCTCCTCTGTGTTAATGCTCACCAGTGACTTCCATTTGCCAATCAGTATCTTCCACTTGGAAAGTTCAGGCAGTCCAGCCAATTGCTGATACTTATGTGACAATAATAAGGCCCCACAGAAAACTAGTTTCTTCCAAAACTACTGTCAGAACTTTCTTAGAATGGAGAGAACTTGATAGTCCCTAAAAATGACTGAACTGTTCTTCCTTGTGTTCCCTCTCTGTCAAGTTGTACCTAAAAGGTTCTTTAGTCCCCAGTGCTGCCAGGCCTGGTGGCACCATAGACAAGCCTCTGTTCTTCTTAAATACCTTCCCAACAGCAGGAATCAGGGATTTAATTTTTAAATATTGGCCATGGTCTGACAACAGCCATGAAGTTGTAAGTAAACACAGGGAAACTGAGCTTAGCTATGTCTGGCTTGGACAATATTGCATTTCCCTTTTCAGTGCAAAGCCTGACCCACCACACTGGTGGCCTCCCTCTCATTTTTAACTATCAATTTCATGCTATCAGATCTAAATACACCCTTTAAGCATATTCCCCCCACACCATGTTCTGCATTGCTTTTTTCTTACTGTTGAGCAATATCCAGGGAAGTACTAGATACTGAAACTCCATTCAGTAGGGTTATTTTTCTTTATTCTGAAGCTGCAAATAGTGAAATCCTATTGTAGCTAACTCCCTCATTAAAAAAGTGTTTGTTCAGGTCCAGAAAACATTTTTATTATGAAGTTGGACTACATTTAATGAAATAGCTCGTGTTTCATAGCCTTCTACCATAGGAAAATACAGTTCTCAGTTGATGTCTTTGTTTACCACGTGCAACTATTTTGCATTGTGACTGTTTGGTGAATAAGCAAAGTGTGACAATTCAGTGAGACTGATCCATAAGGCATTAATTAAATAAAAATACCGTACTGCTTATCTAGATATAAGCAGTGTTTTCAGATGCATTCTCTGATACTTGATGTTAAACTACCACATAAAATTAAGACTATTTCCAATCTTCATGGTGCCTTGGATTTTACACTTTAATTTCTGAATTTGTTGGCAGATATGTTAAATATCTCAGGCAGAAACTCTTTCTACAGCTATGGAGCTAAGAAGTGACTAGAATACAATTCATTCTACCAAGTAAAATATGTCACATTTCAAGATAAGAACAGAACATTCCTGCTTTTCCAGAGGCTTCATGTGAATAACTAATGTGTCAAGCCTGCAACTAGCAACAAGAAGGCTTGTATCTCAACCAACGTTTTTTTATGCTTTTTTAAACCTCTGGAGTACATGATGCTGATATCAGTCTTTGCTTTC